AAATGTTTTGAAACATGCAAGCACACATTTCTAGGCTCCTTCCATTCAGATTCTTTATTTTGTGCCATTTTGGATCTTCCGTGTCTGATAACAGAGAACAGTGGCTGACAGTGTGCAGCTCCTGCCTTGACCAGTACAAGTATTATGCCTGGTATGCAACCAGAGCAGGATTCAGGAGCTAAACAATCAACACCTGTAGTGCTCCACAGGAAAGTCCCGTTGGTAAAGATTCTTCATTTGTCAAGAGGAGCCTCAGCTTCCATTATAAATCATCTACGCAGCTAAAAAAGCAGTAGTAGTAGTTAAAAGCCCACTAACATTTAAACGAAACCTGCATGGCAGAGAATGGACTACACAAGCTGATGAGCAATCCAACAGAAAAGAACCAGCAGAGCCAGGGGCAATGAACTACAAAAGGGTTCTCCATTTTGGGAGATGCACTGATGATAGCTGATTACTCAAACTATACAGTACTGGAAATACTCAGAAAGCATTTATACTGCTACGGTCAATTAGTTATTTTCAAGCTCAATTAGTGGTTTGGAGAAAAAGCCAAAGAGATACTGTGCTTCAAGGAGAAGCAGTTCTTATTTATGACAGTAAGAAGTCACTGTCTCAGCTTATTCCCTCCCTCTTATGCCTTTTCTCAACCCTCTTCCCCAGATAAAACTGGGTAAAATTTTTGTCATCACACCACCCTAACAGAAGGCAAGAGTATGATAAATGTTCTGTGCACTAAACGGCATAGAGACAGCTGGCATGGGAAGTGTTAAACCGATCACGGTCAGGGTCCAGAGGAAGCAAGGAAGAAGACAGATGGTATGGATTCTGGCAAGTGTGGAAGATGAAGAAAAAGCCCACAAGCAAAGTAACACAGTTAATAGAGATGGTTCTGCAAAGCAGGAGACAGAAAAGGGTCAAAAGGACAGAGGAAAGAGATAAGACATGAATGGATAAGGCACTGATAATTCTTCTTTGCATCTTACTTCCTCCCCACACCCAGACCAGCACTTTGCACTTGCTGGCTGCAGAAAATGAGAACCAGACCATGAGTTCTAAGTTTTCCTGTATGAATGGGGACAGACAGGACGAGATGGTGCAGCAAACAGAATTCATAAAATACTGCTGGACATTCACATTCAACCATGAGGCAATCCAAAGGAGAAGGGAAGACTTTGCACAAAACTACACACGTCTGCATGAAACTTCCTCAGTGGGCATGCCAGAACTCAGCATACTTGCCTTCACAGCAATACACAGTACCAAATAAATCCTGTAACCAAACTCCTGTTCACACACAAACACTTTAAAGCAAGGTAAAGCTTTTCAGTGGGAACTAGTTAGTCAATGAGGAATCACAGACAAAGCAGCTTAAAGCACAGCTCCGAGTAGTAATTCACTGGGAGCTCAGCCATCTCATGCTGCTCCTATGGCTTTGTCTTCGCTGTCAACAGCTCAGCTAACACAAAGCAGCATCACAGAAGAAAACAAAGGACTTCAATTTTGCTGCAAGATAAGTTTTAGTAAGTATAGCCCTATTCTGCTAAGAGGAAGGTAACAAAGCCTGGCCTAAAGCAACTAAAAAAATAAACGTTTTATATGTAAAATGATTTTAAAAATGTAAAAGTTTTATATTTGTATCTATATACACACACACACACACACACACACTCTCCAACCCCTGTGATGCTAGAATGACACTTTCAAGCATGGCTGTCCTCCCTGGAGTTGCCTGACACAAGTAACACAACACACACTGGTACAATGACACAACCAGAGGTGATGCCCACACACATTTTGAATGCCAACTGTTCTTACTTTTCAACTGCTGTTTCCACAGTGAACAACAACAATTCCTGGGCTCCCACACTCCTCTCTCACCCTTACCAAGGCCAAAGGATCTGAATATTAATTGCACTGTACATCTTTAAAAATTGTTTGATTCAGCTTCTATCTCATCATTGGAAACTGATAATGTACTAGGAGAAGTAATTTTCCCAGTGGGCATATTCAAACCCTGGAACAGGTGCCCACTAGGCCTATGGACTCTCCATCCTTGGAAATGTACACAACTTGACCAGACAAGGCCCTGAGCAACCCTGATCCAAGTTAGTCCTGCACTGAACAGGCAGCTGGACCAAATGACCTCCTGAGTCCTCTCCAGCCTCAAGTAACCTAGCAGCCTATCTTTACAGATTGACGCAAACTGGAGGGGGGAGAAGAGACAAATGGTTTTTTTCTTCCTTTGCCCTTCTCAGACAAGACACTAGGGCTGTCTTTCAACACCTTAACTCTGAGCTAGGAACTCCTCTAATGGCAGATTCAGGCTGTATAAGCCCATACAAATTTTGATTATTTTCTGATGTAAAAGATTAGTTGGTGGCACTGTAACAGCACACCGTAAGAATGGAATCATTTTCAAAATTCAGCAAAAGAGCAAAGCAAACTTTTTTAGCTATACACACTGTATGCACATACAAGTGACTGAATTGTCCCTCTGAAGCTATCAGCAAGGCTAGGTGCTTAGCAGGACTCAGAAGGGGATGTTTCCTGGATTAGAAGGATCATCTATCCCTGAGACAGCAAGCCAACTTCCTCAATTCAGACATAAGCCAACAATTAACAATGCAAAACCTTCCCAGCCTCTTACTAATGCTGTAATTCTTTCTCCCAGTGATGCCTGTCCCACTCCATGCCTCTGTCTCCGTGCCTCTGCACTGACTGTAGGTACACAGGCACATTCAGCATCCCCCACGCCGTGGCTGGTTCATTAGACATGCTTCTCATGGCAGCACACACAGAGTTAAAAGTTGCCTACTAAAATGGAGGGGATGGTGATGCAGAACAGGCAGCTCGAAGCTCTCTGGATGCATTACAGAACCTTGTTTGCATTAATAATAATTTTTTGTTTGGAGATTCAAATGAGCACTATCTCCATTCTGTTTTGGTTTATCTGACCTGTTAACAACAGGCCAGCACAGGATATGAATCCTTGCTATCCCTTTTCCATGCTAATTTTATGTTTATTAAGGTGATCAGTTAGCAGATAGATGTATGGGAAGAGGAAAAAACAGTCTAATTATCTCCATTAATCTGGACAGGATCAAAAGGATGCTCATCCAGAAAACTGTTAGTCAAAGGGGCTGGAAGGATTTAAATAAAAACACCCAACAAAGGACAGTTCTGCAGAAACTTAAATGCATGGCTGCAGCATAGCCTAGGTCAGTGAGGTTTATTCAAGTCTATTGTGACAGTTCATGAAAGTTGTTCTTGTCATTTTGCAGCTATTTATATTTTATTATCAGTTACTATGTTCATTACTGTCTGAATTCACTAGATCCAACTGATTTTGCTACGGAAATTTTGAACAGAGTCACAAAGCGTATTTTCCTGTTATTGATTCATGGGCAAATACGCAGGCCAGTCTTCATTAAGTAAATCTTCATTAAGGTTAATGAAAATCTTCAGTAAGATTTTCTAACTGTACCATGTGAAGCAAAATTCATGCAAGGCAGAGGATGACCACATTCTTGGAGACAGAAAATCTCCCAGCTTGTATCCTATAAATGCAGAGAAGTGCCATCATTCAGCTTATTTTAAGAAGCAGAAAGAGCACACCAAAAGTCATGCCAGCTATTCAGTAGACAGGTAAGGAGGAACCTGAGAGTCTCACAGCTGTTGTCATCAGGAACATCTCACTGAAAGGTAAAGGTTGAACTTTGGGCATTTTTTACTCTTGCCAAAGTTTCCACTAATATAGATTCTGCTAGGGTTTAACCAGACATGCATGACTACAATCAGTCCTTACAACAGGTCCATCCTTTCCTGAGGTGTTAAAATCTAAGAAAGAAAAAAAAAAATTAACCTGCCTTCAACATTGCAAGACAAGCCTGATGCTTTATAAAGCAGCAGATATTTATACAGATACTTTTAATGCCTTAGAAAGGAAGAAAAGCTCACTGGCTTAAAGCAGAACTATGTACAGAGATTTCTAAAGCACATTATTTTGAAAGGAATGGATAATTGAAGAGGCATCAAGTTAAAAAAGCAAGAGCATTAAACAAAACATGGTATTTCTAGTCAGTTAATTTGGACAAACCTATTCTTTCTTCCTTTTGTTCCATAAGGAGGCTAATGAGGTCTTGGAAGTGTCCTTAAAACTTTGGTTTAAGTTTAATGAAAACCTCCATAAAGTATATATGTTAAAGAGTAACATTTCTTAGATGAAAAGCAGTAACTTCTCAGGAATTTCTGAGTTCTAGAATTTGAGAGTTTTTTCACTCCCAACTGGATTTCAAATGATAGTGTTATGCTGCAGCATAATCCTGCTATGTGGGTAAAACATGTAGGATAGAAAGTTTCATGCTTAACTAATGGCTGAATAACATTAACTAAAGCTTAATTAATGCTAAGAAAAAGATGAAATCACAGAGAACCAGATCAGACTTTTTGTAGCTCTCTAGAACTGGGACTTATGTAGGGAGGATTAAAACATGTAAACATTATTATCCAATTCATTTGTTTCTATTTTCCAGAAAGTTAATATTGTTTCAAAGGGTTGAGAATTACATTTTGACAGGAGATAACAAAAATACCAGGATACAGTCAACAATTCTGAAATAAAAGGAACTAGTCTTGACATAGTGGAGGTCAATTTATAGTACCAGGCCAGTGTGCTGAAGCAGTATATGCAGGGTCCCTAAAAATCAGAGCATCACACTTCCACTAACAGAATCACAAGTTAAGTCTGTCTCAAGTTATCCATCCATGAACAGGGTTTCAGGTACCTGCTACTAAGTGCTGTATTAAAACTGGACAATTTGAAGAACATTAAAAATCTGAAATAGTAAGGCTGTACTTTTTTTCTAACAGTAGCTCAATTAAGAAGCTGGCCGTAACTTTGTTACTTACCTAATACACACTACAGAACACACCAGTGACACTACCTAGCCAAGCCCTGTGATATTAAGCATGCCAAGGTCACAGCAGGGGTCACTTACGGCATTCCTTCTCATCGCTGTCATCGAAGCAGTCGGGCAGCCCATCGCACTGCCAGGCCCCTGGGATACAGCGCCCATTACTGCACATGAAGTTTCCAGGAATGTTGCATTCGTTTGTGAAGTTATTCCCAGGCAACAGTTGGCTCTCTGCAACAAACAAAAAAGAGGAAAGTTCACAGGGGATTTAAAAAAAGGCAGCAAAAGCAGTCACCAAGGAAGCTGTTTACCAGTAATGGAATGAAGAGGAGATAAATGGATCTTGACCCTGCTTATTTTGTCATTATCCTATCAGCATGCTGAGTATGGTACTTGGTAGCAATTTCTTCTTCCTAAATTATCATTTTACCCGTTCTCCATTCACACTCCCCATTCTACAGATTTCTTTCTTACCATTTTCTTTCTAGGAACATACATGCAGCCTTCAATGTATCCTAAGGTCAAAGCAAACCTCATTTAAAAAATATTTTTAAAAATCTCTCCTTTACAGGGTCAGTCTAAACACAAGTAAAATATATGAGACTACAAGAACTCAACTCCTACCCCCATGCTTTTGTCAGGTCAGTAGTTAGCTTGCAGAGTATTTTGGTTTTGTTGTCGTTACCCAAGGGCTAGGAACTAGGTGACACACTGACTAATTCATACTAGGTTTTCAATTAAGTTTTAAAACACAGTGCTGCTGATCAAAGTTATAATTGAGCTTCTTGGTGTTAATATAGTCCCCTGGCATGTATCTGTCCACAGGCTAGTAAGGCAGTTAGCATGCTAAGAGCCTGCCAAGTGGAGCAGGATACTGGAGATCAAGAGAACAGTACAAGACGGAAACCTAGACATTTGCCTTCAAGGTTAAACACAGCTCTAGTCAGTCATTTTAATCTACTGAGTTTCCCTCTTTGTGCATTGTTTTTGGATGCAGATATCACAGAAACACAAACTTCAGTGAAGGAAGATAATGACACTCAATGGCTTTAATAAGCACCAAAATGTTGTCGAGCTGGGGGGAAGCTGCAAGACAGGAGCAGATGAGAGAAAGAATATCCTTCCCCTCACCTTCCTCTGTCATGTTCCAGACTGGTCCCAAGCAACATGCACTTGACCAGGCAAAAAGCAGAAACACAAACCCCCACATCAGGGTGGAGGTGTCACAAAAATACATCTGCCCACGTATCTTCATGGTACAAAACCAGGAAGAACAAATTAAGCCAATGCACAGCTTAATCATTTACCTATTTTGAAGATAATCACATACTTTTGGAACCCAGGGGAGTGGCAGGCAGTTCCCTCCATGGCCCTGTTGGAGCCCAACCCCTTCCCCTCCTCGGGCCATGGAGAAGCACAGGATGGCGAGGGCCCCACTCTGCAGCGGGGCACGGGGCACAGAGCTGCCAGGAACAGCCATTTCAGGGAAGACACTTTCCTAGCTCATTTTTGCAGTCCCAGGGAAGAACCTGCTCCATACATGTTCTCCATCTTTGGAGAACTCAGCTGCCAAAACAACGAGCCTCTAAGTGTGAGGCTTTCCAGAAACTCCTGAATCAGCCCAGTGCAGATGATTCCCTTCCTCCCTTGTAATTTAGCAAAACGCTCCATCCCTGACACAGGCAAAACTGCTACCCTGTTTCAAATGACACATGACAGGAATGCTTCAGGGAGGTTTTATTTTTATGCCTGTGTCTGCCCCAAACAATGCATTTCCTCTCAAATGTCATTTCTTGCAAACAGCTGACTGTCCTGGGGATGTTTTAAGAATCTGCCAGCACAGAGCAGATACTTTAATGACAGTTTGCCCTGAGCTGTTAGAAGAAAATGTAGCTCAGAAAAGAAGGTGGAAATAAGGTCTTCTGAAGCAGATGGGGCAGTCTCAGCCACTAACCACTCACCCAGAGCCACCTGTAACTCTCCTGCTGTAGCACCTTAAAGAAAGAAAATGACAGCCAGCAAAAATCAAGCCCAGGCTTCGGAGCTGACAATTTGAGACTTTTTGCTTTTAGAAGTTTCATTCAAACTTCAGTTTCATTCCCTGCATCACTGCTCTTCTGATCAAGTCTGATCAAGAAAGAACAGGCTTGCTCCCTACACTATGATGGGAGAAGGCTACAACCCAGAGCATACTGGCAGATGCTCAACTCCAGCCTGCTCAGGCAGGGCCCTCCCTGCTCCCAGCACCTCCCGGGGAAATTCTGCTTCATGCCCAGCTCCCTAAATCTGAATCAGCAATAGGAACAGTTTGTCCTTGGCTAGTCCTGCCACGAAACACCCAACAGACACGGTGTTGTCAATAACCAGCCCCAGGCTAGTGCAGCATCACTGCTGAGTTCTACAAGCTCTATGTTCAACCAGCAAGGGTTTTTTTTGTTGTTGGCTTGAGGGGGTGGTATCTTTTTTTTTTTTTTTCCTCCTTAAACTAGCAATTGAACCCATTCAGATTAGTCTTCCATCATTGACCTGTACCTAGTAAGTAATCACCAAACCAAATCACCACTCTCAAACAGCTACAGTGGGTGAAACTGTCACTGTTACACAACCTCCTATTAGCAAACAACTCCCGGTGCACTAATAACACCTCTGCCTGCAATGGGAGAAAATCTACCACAGTATTACACGCCACAGCATGGCTTCACCAGATCAAGATATGAAAGAGATGAGATACCCAGGTATTCTTTGCAATGCTCTATACATTCAATGCAAATATTCTATTCAACGCACAGGCAATATGCCATGATCTCAAGTTTGCTATAAAGCATCCAAAAGCTCCAATATCAGAACCTAACTCCCTTTTTCCACACTCCTCCCTAAAAATAGCTTTCAGGTCAGTATGGTACCACTGAAAGACACTCCTGGTAGTTGTCATAACTTTTATTAGAGAAAATTTACAAGTTTTCAAATATTACAAAACTGAAATGTCCTGGCTAAGAATAAATCTCTGATGTAAACCAGAGTTATTTCAAGCTTAACAAGAGAACTAGGAATCACTGAGGCTTTTACTCTCTCAGAACCTAAGCACCTAGGCAGTACATTTAGGCAGCAATATCAAAAAGGTGCCCTTCTCATGGCATCCCTCCCTGCTGCTCTGAGCTACCTTCTTGTCTAACCTCATACCTACATCTCTCATCCAAACTGCTCCACTTCCATGTGGAAGCTGCACCTATTCAAAATGAAAAATCCTGCTGCCAATGATTAAGTGAGAACTCTTCTACACTTGGGCAAGCTGCTAGCTAAGAACAGACACCAGGTTTCACCACTACCTGCCCTAGCTATAGAACTGTCTTCTGCCCTCCACGCATCCGGGTGTGTGCCTGAGAAAACAGCTGGACACACTTCAAGCCCTGTAGCACCTCCTGTGCAGAATAACTGAAGTTCAGCTCCTGTTAGATCTACTGCTGCCATCTTGACTGAAAAGCTTTAGCCATGATGTCCACACCTTAATGAAAAAATTTAGACCAAGACAAATCATTTAAGGAATTTTTAGTTTCAAAAAGCAAAACAAACCAAGAAACAACCCTCCAAAAAAGCTATCGAGTCCCTGTTACATTCCACAACTCCTTTAAATAAATGCTATATATACTTCTACCTACTAAATTGAAGCAACATTCCAGGAACAGATACCAGATTTCATTTGTTACTCAGTAAATTGTTCGTTTATAGGACTTCCTTTGTCATACAATAAATTTATCCTCAATGTCCTACTAAAGCAAGGATGTATTTATTACTAACTTTTTCACCAAACAGGAAACAAAAAATGCCGACAGATCAAGTTACTTGCCAACAGCCCTATGCAAGCTTTGCTGCAGAATGGGAACACAGAACTGTGACTCAATCCAATTTCAAAGCAACAGTTCTTTGTCTTAAAACATGCCCTTCATCCAATGTTAGAAGAAAACTGGAGATTACAGACAACAATATCACCAGCACACCTAGAAACTTGTTACATGCATTACTCCATCTCCAAAAAATCCACTGGTGGGTAAGGAACTGTCAAAACAATTGCACATGTGGAACTGTTTTAAATTGTATTGCTCCTTTGCTTCCCTCACTTTGCCAGTCTTCTCTATCGGATACAAAAACCCTCAAAAAAATCCTCAGCGCAGTCATCACCCCCCAGGTCTCAGGAAGGCGCTGTTCCTGCCCGCTCGGCGCAGAGCCCACTGCATGACTCGGGGGCTCTGAGCACGCATGTGAGGAGCAGCAGTGTCACACACACGCACCAGACAGACATGGAAAGGACCAAACTAGATCATCTTGTCCATTTTTCTAATAGGGTCCATACAGATGCAAGCTGTCTGCACAAAACCTGACTATACCGCCTGTTGGCAGGGGCAGAAATTCCTTCAATCTGGCAGATCTGGCTTTCCAATAGTTGACATATTTACCCTGCAGCCTCTTTGACTAATTTTGAATTCAACCCAAATATGAGCTACGCGGATGTGTTCAGTTAAGTAAAGGAGGAAGGGAGGAAGGGGAAAGAAGTAGTCCATTTTCACCGCAACACATTGCTCACTTTAAGCAGCACACCATCTGGGCTGAATAAAAAAAGGGACTCGTGTTTCACTCTAAAGGGGATGGAGTAAAGAAAGTCAATCTGTTTTAGCAACCACTTCCAAAAATGTTAGCATCTAAATATTTAATACTCACTGAAAAAGAATTAGGGAAAAATAAAAGGACAAGTCATACTGAGCACTTCACACTGTATTAAGAAAGCAAATCAAGGGTATCTTTCACAAAAAGCCTTTTACCTGAAAGCACTCCAGAGAACTGTGCACAATACAGAACAGATCACTACTGATAACACTGCTGCCTCTGTATCACTCTCACACGGAAAGTGTAAGAGTAGGCAGTCACCTGGCCAAGGAGGTTTTGAGGAAGAAATAACAGACATTTGTGTGTTCAACACCCTCACGAACAATGCCAGTAACTTCAGCCTCTTTGCAAAATCCTCTATCGCCAAGGATGAAGCATGAACTCGTCACTGCCAAACCTTTGGCATGTTTTTTGTGAGAATCCTGGGATTGTCACTGGATACTTTCAATACATCGCTGCTTCAAGTTTTTCAAATGTGAAAAGAATTATTTTGTTCCAGGCTGGTATGTAGCTGTGAGGCTGAAGGGGTATTTATAATACTTTCCTATCCCATGATGCACACGGTATGCTCC